TTTCAAGATGCCACTGTTGGTCATTTTGACATAACTTAGCATTAAATTTTCGGCCTATTTCCTTTTTTGTCTGCTTGTCCCGCTCCACAATCCCCTTTAAGGCCTTTTTTTCTAGTTGTAAACAGTTCAGGGCCAGCTGTGGCTGTTTGGTTTTAATTGGAAACTGTCTCTTTAAATTTCAAGGCGATCTGTGCACATGCATAGTAGAACCCTCTGAGGGTGGGGCTGGGGTATCCACTAGCTCAGGCACCCGTATAGTCACCCGCATGGAGGTGCGCAGACAGCAAGGGACCAGTGAACAGCTACCAAAAGAGAAGAATGTTCACACCTTTATCTCTGCAGTTCTGCCATGCATCTGTAGCCGCTTTGATCTTTCCCCCGCTTGGTCTCACCCAAGTAGCTTAGCGTCTTGAATTAGAAAGCAATGGATTTCTTGCTTCTGCCACAAATTCCCCCAGCTGTAAGCCTTCCAACCTTCTACATATTCCTTTATATGTGGTTCAGAGTTTGGGACCATCCCCTGAGCCTGCTTGGTCGGGTATTCTGTGTTTTTGCTGGCTGAGCTCCTTTACTGTACTTCCACCTGATCCGCCATCTTGTTTGTTCTAAGTACTTGCTTTTTCTTGGTGAGTAATGACGTTCAACACCTTCCCTGTGTCTGTTGATCATTTGGATATTTTCTTTTATGAAGTGCTTGTTTAGGTCTTTTACCCATTTTTCTATTGTGTTATCTTTTCTAGAGTCATTTTTAATTGAACATCTTATTTATTGTTCATATATGTATATATATATATTTATAGCTGTATATATATAATCTGCTTTTACATGCATCCTTATTTCTTATGCTGTCCAATTTAGCTGATCTAAAAAATATCATAAAGACCCTTGACTACTTCCACCATCACTTGTAGGGGACTAAAAGCTACTAGCAGAAAAGGCAAGTTAATGAATTATTAGTTAGTTTTTCAGGTATATAATCTTTTCTCAGACCCTTGATTATAGCTAACTTTTGTTTTTCCTGCTTACTTCCTTCTTTCTTAGTTTCTGGGAAATGTATAAATTGTTATTGGACAGAGTAGAGGTGATTCTTCCCTGATTATTTTTATTATCTCTAATTGTTGGATGGGCTCCTGGTGTTGCACTATAGGATCAGCACTGGACTGTGAAACCACAAGGTCTGCGATTCAAATCCACCAGCTGCTCTTTGGAAACCATTTACAGGGTCACTATGAGTTGGAACTGACATGATGACACTTAACAGTAACAATAATGGTTTGATGATATTTCTAATGTCTTTGTCCATTAGGCACAAGAGAACAGTAACTCTTTGAAGAAGAAGACTAAGTTTGTCAGTTTATACACAAAAGAGGGACAGGACAGGCTTGCAGTCCTGCTCCCTGGTCGCCACCCTTGTGATTGCCTGGGCCAGAAGCATAAACTAATCAATAACTGTCTGACATGTGGGCGTATTGTCTGTGAACAAGAGGGCTCTGGCCCCTGCTTATTCTGTGGCTCTCTGGTAAGTTGTTTCTACTTTACTTTCCTGTGCCTTGTGTTAATATAGAGAGCACTGGTGGTTATGGTGCAGTGGTTTAAAGATCTCAGCTGCTAACTGAAAGGTCAGTAGTTCAAACCCACCAGCCACTCCACAGGAGAAAGATGTGGCAGTTTGCTTCTCTAAAGATTTACAGTTTTGGAAACCTTTTGGGGTTGCTATGAGTCTACGAGTTGGAATGGACTCAATATCAACATCAGTGGGTTTGATTTTGGAAGTTTTTTGTTTTTTTTTAATGTTTGTCCATTCAGGTCCCTAATAATTTCTCTTTTCCTTAGTAAATTTCTTCCTAAGATATCCAGTGAACTCAGCATGAATTTGACAAGTAAAAAACTCAACAACCCCAAGTACTGAGGCTTGTTAGTAGGAAGGGTTTTGAGAAAACATATTGTTGAGAGATCCAATTCTTGCATCAGATTAACTTCAGTTCAAGAGAACTTTAGGGCCTTAAATGACAACATTTTGTCAAAGTCTTCCAATGTGGCTCATATCACCAAGGGCACAGAACCACTTTGACATAATCTTCAGAAGGTCATTATAGCTTCTGTTTTTAGGACACCTCTCTATTACAGCTCTACTCCGTCCGGGAGAATGACTGCAAAATGTAGTGCTAATGATGCTCTCAAAAAAGCCTTAATGAGTTGTCTGTTGTTGTTGTTGTTAAGTGCTGTCGAGTCGGTTCCGACCCATAGCGACCCTGTACAAGGTTTCCGAGGCTGTAAATCTTTACGGGAGCAGAACGCCTCATCTTTCTCCCATAGAGCGGCTAGTAGTTTCGAACTGCTGGCCTTAAGGTTCGCAGTCCAATTCGTAACCACTACGCTACCAGAGCTCCTTAATGAGTTGTCTAGGAAGCTTATATTGCTAGTTGAACTGGCAGGCAGAAGCAGTAGCATTTGGTGTTGGTATAGGCATCCGTGTTATATTGCTTTCTTTTCCCTTCTTTAATGAGGCCTTTAATTTTTTCCCATATGCTTAGAGAATAAGCTGATAGACAATGGATGACCTGTAAAATGTAATGAATACCAATAAAAATGTTCATGAAATGACAGTAAATCTCTTCCCATATGGGGCTTTCACTAGAGAAATACTCTACAGCTGCTGACAAGAACTCTTTGTGCCACTGAGGCAACTGTTAGGAAATACACTGTTTTCCATTAGGTCCTTTGGATCTTTCTATTTAAGAAACAGTAATGTAAAGCAGATTTGCGCTGAAGTCTTAAACTTTTATAAGCGCAAAATGAAATGGCTTTGAACTAGCCCCTTCTCAATCTCTCTTCTTAAAATTGTAGTGATTTTATAATAAAACCTTTTCTTTGCTTAATATATTCTCTATTTTATAAGTAGATGATGTTCCAAGGCAAAGAAACAAAATATGTAAGAAAGCTAGACTAGTTTTCACTCACTGGCTCTGTAATTTACTTCATTTTCTGTTGTCTTCTAATAAGGCATCTGCTTATAATTTCCCTTGTAAGACTGAGCCTACAAGATTTGAAGAAAGAGGAAGAAAAAGAGCCTTGCATGTTTTTTTCCCCCAATATTTCCATTGGCAGCCAATCTTTGTCCTTTGAAAGTAGGTTAGTTTCTCTTTTTTTAACCACCAAGTCATTCAGGGACACTTAGTAGTGAGATCAGTTTTATTGTATGGCTCATAAGAGACAACTGGAAAGAGAAATGGGGTAAAACATTTGGATATATATGTATATATTTGATATGTTTGTCCAGATAAGAAAATACCAACATTCTCATTATTTTATTATAATTTCTAATGTATAATTTTTGGAGTCCTGGTGTGGCACTATATACTGCTAACTACAAGGTCAGTATACTTTGGACATGTTGTCCAGAGGAAACAATCGTTGGAGAAGGATGTCATGCTGGGTAAGGTGGAGGGTCAGAGAAAAAGAGGAAAACCTCTAACGAGATGGATTGGCCCGGTGGCATCATTGATGGACTCAAGTGTGGCAGCGGTAGTGAGGTTGGCCCAGGATCGGACATTGTTTAGTTCTGCTGTGCATGGGGTCGCTATGAGTCGGTTCCGACTCGATGGCACCTGACAACAACAACAACAAGGTTCAAAGCCACCATTTACTCCTTGGAAACCCTATGCAGAGTTGCTATAAATCCAAACTGACTTGACAGCACACAACAACAACAACGTGTAATTTGAAGTTACTTTTTAGGTATATCAAGCAAATAATTTATGCGATCAGGTGTTTTCACTTAATTACTTTGTAGGTATGTACTCGGGAAGAACAAGATATTTTACAGCGTGACTCAAACAAGAGTCAGAAACTGCTGAAGAAGCTCATGGCAGGTAGGCAGCATTCCTCTGATTGGATCACTGTGTGATAGGTGCATTTTGTTATATCTGTGATTATTTCTGTGTCCTGCATTCTGGTATACAAGATGTAGAAATTCCCACATTTATTCTATAAGAATTTAAGTATATATATGTTAAGTACCATCAAGTCGGTTCCAACCCATAGCAACTATACATAGGGTTTCTAAGGAGCAGCTGGTGAGCTTGAATCACTGACCTTGGTGGTTCAAACTGATTTGGAAGTCAAGCACATTAACCCTCAGTGCCACACCAGTATTCCCAAATATTATCTGTATCTATATATGTGTGTATGTACATTATTATTGTTATTAAAACCACATAACATTGAGCAACAAAATAAATAACAATAGAATTGGCTTAAAACCCAAAGAATAAAATTAATATCCATGAAGCCATTTTCATTGTATTAGTTCCCTAGGGTTGTTGTAATAAAGTAGCACCAACTGCATGGCTTAACACAACAGACATTGATTCTCTTAACAGTTCTGGAAGATATAAATTTGTAAGCAAGGTGTCAGCTGAATTTCATTCCTTCTAGAAGCTCTAGTGGAGAATCTATCATTGTCTGTTTCAGCTTCTGGTAGCTCCAGGTTTTCTTTGGTTTGTGGCAAATGACTCCAATCTCTACCTTTTTCTACATATGACTGTCTTCTGTCAGTTTATCTGTCTTGTCTCTCTCTTTTTTTAAAAAATGTTTTATTGTGAATTATGTGATAGTTTACATGGGAGAACATTAGTTTTACATTCATCCTAACATATATCGTTTCATTGCCATGGTTACAATCCCCTCCATGCATCATCAACCAACCAGAGGGTATACCCTACAAGCCTGGCCCTCCGGTCGTCACACAGAGCCCCTCTCCCTCTCTGGGTCTAAAGTTCCCAGCTGCTCCATCTCTCCACATCATCGTCTCTGCCTCCATCTCAGGCATGACTGCTTCTCTGGGTAGGGTTCCCGCTCTCCCCTCTCCTCCCTTGATGGTCCCAGGGACCTCTGCTCCTAGACCACAAAGTTAATCATTCCCCTCCTTGCTACAAAACGTTTACCTTTACATTTCCAACCCTCACAATCAGTCCTGATAACAATTATTTACTATTGTGTCACAAGAGACCTATCCACATTTCCTTTCATCAGCCCCACCTAGATGAATTGGATACTACTCAGTGCAGATTCTACCTTCCTCCACACCCTCTGGATCTAGGTTCCCTCTTCAAAGCTTGTAATCCAGTCACTTCTTGCCTTTGTAACTCCCCCATTTTGGGTAGCCAATGTCAAGTTGCCCATCTCTGTCTACTCTCTTGTATGGAGGGGACAGGAATGATCCTTGCTATAAAGATTTGTTCCCTCTTCTGAGCTACTGCATCCATAGGTGCAGGTCAAGTTCATCAAATTGTATCAGATTACTCTTTTTTTCCTCCTCTTTCTTCTTCTCATTGAGCTCTGATCATCCAGTCATTGAAGTCAGGTCAAGTGGGTATTATCTGCAAGTGTGGGTGTTCTTATGCATATGCCCTCTCTTCTTATCAGCTGGACACTTCACTCTCCACTCTAGTCCTCTGTGGTTATGTCACTGACTCTGGTCCGAAGAGTCCCCAGGTCTTGCCACACTGCATGCCAACCATGTCTCCACCAGGGTTCGCAGGAGTCTATTGAACGTTGTAGGGCTTAACTCACACCTTCATTGCTGTTTTTCCCTTACTTCCCCTTATCGGTATATGTCTTGTTTCTTATAAGAATACCAGTCATATTGGATCAGGGTATGATCTCATTTTAACTAATTATATCTGTAATCATGCTATTTCCAAATAAGGTCACATTCATAGATACCTGAGATTAAAACTTCAACATAATTTTTGGAAACACAGTTCGACCATGACAGTCATAAATAAATATCTGAATTAGTTAACAAATGGGAGAGAAGAACTCTTCTTTTTAGAGAAGAATTCCAATTCCTAAAATAACAGAAATGAGGATGATAGAAAAGATTTATTAGAATACCACTATAGCAATTACTGCAGGTAAGATATATGCATGTATGTATCGATGGATGGATGCTGAAATTATTGGGCAAATATTTAAGAACAAGAGATGTGTGAGATCATGAATAGACGGGAAGATCAAGGAACTGTCATAGATTGGAAGAGATTAAGACATGATAACTGGGTATACAGGAAGTCTACTGTTTTTTAAACTCTTTTTAAAAGTCTTTTATAAAGTGAAAATATTTTTAAACAAAGTTTTCTAAAAACACATGATAAAATCACTTTAAAGGGAAAATTTTACTCCTTACTGTCCATTTAAGGAAATATTTTAATTTATTGCTATTTTAGTTCATAGTAGTTGTGGGTTTTTGTTTTTTTTTTAATTGGTTACATGGAGTCCTGGTGTGGCACTGTGGGTTAATGTGCCAGACTACAAAGCCATTTGAACTGCAATGTGGTGGTTCAAGCTCACCAGCTGCTCCTTGGAAACCCTATACAGGGTCACTATGGGTTGGAATCGACTCGATGGCAATTAACAACAACAATATTATAAAGTAGCAATTATAGTGTCTATTTAATTTTACAGTTTTCCTGTGTTTAAATTAGTATTTTACTTTTAGTTTCTATGTTGCTATGAAAACAGGCCCTGGTAGCACAGTGGTGAAAACATGGCTGCTAACCAAAAGGCCAGTAGTTTAACCCACCACTGCTCTACAGAAGAAAGAGGTGGGAATCTGCTTCCATAAAGATTTATAACCTTATAAATCCTTTAGGTCAGTTCTACTCTGTCTTGTAGGGTTAGAATGAACTCACTGGCAGTGGGTTTGGTTTTTCATTTAAGTTGCTATATAATCTTTACTATTTAAGGAGTTCTGGTAGTGTAGTGGTTATGAATTGGGCTGCAAACCGCAAGGTAAGCACTTAGAAACTACCAGGTGTTCCACGGGAGAAAGTTGAGGCTTTCTGCTCCCATAAAGGTTAACAGCCTCGACCTGTGCAGGGTCGCTATGAGTTGGAACCGACTCCATGGCACATAACAACAACAACAACAATTTATTACTTTTAGTGGCTAAAAATAGTCTGTTATTTTGATATATTGTAATTTGATTAATTTTTCCACCACTATTATAAATGAATGGATTTCAAAAAGTTTTTTTAAAAATGGAATTATAGGATGATGGAATTTTCCCACAAACTTTTTAAAGCTCCCTCGCATTTTGACTCTAATTTTCTGTAATTATAATTGATAACATAAATCGTCATCTTTGTTCATGTATCTTTTGATTTATTACCTTGAGATAAAGCTATAAGAATGGGATTACTAAGTCAGAAAATGTAATTATTTCTGACATTTGAGATGTGTTTACTGAATTACCTAAATAGTATACAATCTACAGAAATGTTAGCAACGTACTCCAAAATCTGTCACTATATTTTTCAAATATAGTTGTAATTTTTTATCTTATTAATAATGAGATTAAAAATGTCTCTATTATTGTTCATTTTGGATTTCTTTAAGACCATTATTATGAGAAAAGGTAGTTCTTTCTTAATATTGAAAAAACAAGAATGACCTCTTAATTATTTCCTCCCCCAAATTCAAAGGAATTCTATTCCTGAAGGTCTTTGAATAGAGTTGCAGTAGGTAAAGAGAAAGGTCAGTGTTTATTACAGCCTACTTTTTCCCTAACATATTTTGGTTCTTGTTTTGATTATAATCTGTGTCACGCATTTCTGTTATATAGTTCTGTTATAATGGATACAGAATAAGGGTTGTGGAAAGAATGTGGATGAGTCACACTTGGGCTCAAATTTCATTTCTACCCTTTAATTTCTGAGTAGATTCAATAAATTTATTACCATCTGTGTAAAAAAACAACAACTGTATTATAAGGTAATTGTGAGAAATAAAGCTATAATACATAACTGTCTTAGCATCTAATAAGTTCTCATCAACTATATCTAACTCCTGAAATTTCTTCTCATTTTTCTTCTGTTACCTAGCTTTCAGTTTTGATATATAAAGGATGTTTATATGGAATATTTATGTTGTATTGTCTAATAATTTAGTCCCCTTAGTGTCCTAAATGTCCTTACAGAAGAAAAGGACACTAATGTTTATTTAGGGACTCGTACATGTCAAGCAGTTCTTGATGCTCCACAAATAATGTCTGTGTACTTGTTTGTTTTTCCATTGTGATGAAGACTCCAGTGAGACTGTAAGTTTGTATTATAGGCTAGCATCATTTAATTTTCCTTGTTGAATTTCAGGGATGGAGAATTCTGGAAAGGTGGATATCTCCCCCAAAGACCTTCTTCCTCATCAGGAGTCTCGAATTAAGTCTGGCTTAGAGAAGGCTGTCAAGCATAAAGACAAACTGTTAGAATTTGACAGAACAAGGTATGATATGAATGGAATAATAAATGCTAAGAAATAGATTGGTCCACAGATTCTGGCCATTAAAACATTATTTTGAACTTGTTGCCTTCTCAAAGTAGAGTATGAAAATTTACACTAAAGGAAAGCTGTGTACAGTAGACAGGAAGCCTACATCTTGTTTTTGAATCCATGTTTGAATAAGATAAGCTCCCCAAAAGAGGATCTTACCTTGCAGTGTTTTTTTAATTTGGCAAATGCTGGTAAATGCCTTAGAAAGATGATTGGAATTGGCAGAATTCCCCATTTGTTTCTCTTGCAGCCATTCATTCACTTATTCAGTAAGTATCAGAGTGCCTACCATGTGCCATTTGCTGGACTCAGGAAAATCTATAAGTAACTTCCTCTGGAGAGCATACCAAAAACAACAGCAAAAAGTCACTGCCATTGAGTCAATTCTGATTGATGGCAGCCACATAAGACAGACTAGAAATGCCACCTAGAGTTTCCAAGGTTGTAAATTTATGGAAGCAGATTGCCACATCTTTCTCCCACAGAGCACCTATTGGGTTTAAACTGCTAACTTTTCAGTTAGCAGAAATGTGTGCTCAACCACTGCACAACCAGGGCTCCTTCTTGAGAACATAAGAACGTAATTGCTCCATATTATAGGAAATCATCACATACCTTTTCCTTTAGAAATTAAAATATTTCCAAATGTACTTTTAGACATCTATACTGTTGTTTATTTAGTCCACTGACTTCTCTTTAGGAGACAGATAAGTGGATGTTTTTCGTTCCATTTAAAAAAAATTTCTTCTTTCATTTTTTACTTCATTTGGACAAAGTATATATTATAAACCAGTAAATGGCAGAGAATGTTTAGGTCAGACTTACAGCTCACTTCTCAAATGGTCATTTGAGAATCTGTGAGAGTCCTGAGAGAAACCTTGAGTCTCTTACTTATTGTAACTGATCTGGGAGTCTATTCCTGGCATTATAATTCTTGGGTGAGCTGTAGCTACTACTTCCATACCATTTGCTATGAATATATGAGATAGATAGAATTGAAAAAATTATTTCTTAAGTAAGCCCATGCCAAGATTTATGATTTACATTCACTCTTATCCTTTAAGTATCACATTTAGCCCTACTCAATAAAATTTAGCATTAGAACTAGAATTAGGAGTACAATGCATTTCTTGATAAACAGAAACAGGAAAAGGGCCTCACTTCATATTGATGTTTCTGCTTTGCTGCGTATGTTCAAGAGTGCTGGTTTTATAACCTAGGACTAATACTTTTCTGAGCCCTCTTAAACATCTTACTTTAGGAAAATACTACCTTAAGACTTAAAAATCCCATTATATTTTCGGCTGAGTCCTGAAAAATTGAAATCAACGTATCAATCTAATCTCAGTATTTCCCATATACCTATATTATTATTGTTGTTAGGTGCCATTGAGTCGGTACCAACTCATAATGACCCTATGCACAACAAACAAAACACTGGGCCAACCTCACAATCGTTGCTATCCCTGAGCCCTTCACTGCTGTCACTGTGTCAGTGCATCTTTTTTGGGGGTCTTCCTCTTTTTCTCTGACCCTTCACTTTACCAGTCACGTTATCCTTCTCCAGTGACTGGTCCCTCCCTATAATGTGTCCAAAGTATGAGAGATGAAGTTTGGATATTTTGGCTTCCAAGGAGCACTCCTGGCTGTACTTTTTCCAACACAGATCTGTTTGTTCTTTTGGCAGCCCATGGTACTTTTAGTATTATCCTCCATCACCATAACGCAAATGCATAAATTCTTCTATGGTCTTCCTTATTCACTGTCCAACTTTCACATGCTTATGAAGTTATTGAAAATACCATGGCTTGGGTCAGGTGCACCTTAGTCCTCAAACTGATATCCTTGCCCTCGACACTTTAAAGAGGTCTTGAACAGCAGATTTTCTTAAGGCAATACGTTGTTCTGATTTGTTGACTGCTGTTTCCATGAGTGTTGATGGTTGTTGATCTGAGCAAAATGAAGTTAAGTCCTCTTCAATTTTCAGCAAGCAAAACTGTATCATCTGCATATCGCAGGATGTTAGTGAGTCTTCCTGAAATCATGATGCCACGGTTTTCTTCATAGAATTCAGTTTCTTGGATTATTTGCTGGGCATACAGATTTAAATAAGTATTGTGAAAGAATATAACCCTGGCCACACCTTTCCTAATTTTAGGTCATTTGGTGTTTCCTTGTTCTGTTCAAATAACTGCCTCTTGGTCTATGTACAGGTTTCTCATGATCCACACAATTGAAAGTCTTTGCCTAGTAAATAATGCACAGGTAAACATCTTTCTGGTATTCTCTGCTTTAAGCCAAGATCATCTGACGTCAGCAATGATATCCCTCACTCCATATCCTCTTCCGAATCTGGCTGGAACCTCTGAAAGTTCTCTGTCAATGTTTGGCTGCAACCATTTTTGTATTATTTTTAGTAAAAATTTACTCGCATGGGATATCAGTGATATTGTCCGATGATTTCCACATTCCGTTGGGTCACCACTCTTTGGAATGAGTATAGATAATGGGTATCTTCCAGTCAATTGGCCTAGTGCCTGTCTTCCAAATTTCTTGGCATAGATGAGTGAGAGCCTCCAGTGCCACATCAGTTTGTTGAAACATTTCAATTTGTATTCCATCTGTTTCTGGTGCCTTGTTATTTGCCACTGACTTTAGTGCACTTTGAACTTCTTCCTTTAGGCTCTTGATCATATGATACCCCTTGAAATGGTTGAACATCAACCATTTCTTTTTGATAACAGTGATTCTGTGTATTACGTACATTTTCTTTTGATGTTTTTTGCATCATTCTATTTTTTGCCCATAGAATCCTTCAGTATTACAAGTTGAGGCTTGAATTTTTTCTTCAGCTCTTTAAGCTTGAGAAATGCTGAGCACGTTCTTCCCTTTTGGTTTTCTAACTCCTGGTCTTTGAACATTTCATTATATTTGATTTTATCTTTTCAAGCTACCCTTTGAGATTTTCTGCTCAGTTCTTTTACCTTTCATTTCTTCCATTTGCTTTAGCATCTCGATGCTGCAAAGCAAATTTCAGTCTCTTTTGACATCTGTTTTGGTCTTTTCCTTCTTTTTTATCTTTTTAATGACCTTTTGCTTTCTTTATTTGTTCACAAGTGAACTAATCGCCATGTTTGTTTTTATTTTCTTAGTGTCCGAAGGACCCAAGTCATTGATGATGAGTCAGATTACTTTGCCTGTGATTCTAATCAGTGGTTGTCCAAACTTGAGCGAGAAGTCCTGCAGAAACGAGAAGGGGAGCTAAGAGAACTTCGACATGCCTCTCGACTCTCTAAGAAGATCACTATCGACTTTGCAGGCAGGAAGATCCTAGAAGAAGAAAATCCACTAGCAGAATATCACAACAAGTAAGTGGACAGCTCTAGAAAGGGTCTGAAAGATGGGACAGTTTCACTGTAAAAGAATTTTCCCCCTGTAGTGAATCTGTTATTATTATTTTTTAACTTCTTTTGTGTGAATTGAGTAAAAGTTTACAGAGCTGATCATCAGTTTTATATTCAACAAACCATATGCTTTGCTGCATTACAGTGATTGCAGTCACCTCCATGTACCAACCATTAACAGTATTTACATCTGTTCACTTTAACTGCTGCCTTCCTTCCTCTGCCTCCCACTACCTTCTTCTCTCATCTACTGACCTTCTTGTTGTATATTGCCCTGTCACACATGTTAACATGTGTCTACCCTCTAGCCCATGAAGAATATTTCCTCTCTCCTTACCCTCAACCATCATAGGCTGTTTCTTTTATCAAGAAAACCTCCTCTTAACCTTTCACAACATTGGTCTCGACATTATGATAAACAGAAATTAAAGGAATTTTTAATGACCAGACCAATTAAAAAAAAAAACTAAAGGATGTTCTTTGAACTAAGAATCAACAACAGCAGACAACAACCTGAAATTGCCATAAATGACAACATCACCCAGAACTCATTCCAGATATAGAAATAAAACAAACATACAAGACTAAAAATAGGGAACCAGAGATATCGATTAAAATGAAGTTAGCTACAAAGAAAAGAAAATAGTGTAGATATAGAACTTCTAAATAGGTAGGAAGTCAAGTACATTTCAAGGTAAAACAGACTGTTCTAAATAGGGAAAAAAATTAATAAATTGCAGGGTAACCTCAAAGAAAATTAATACATCTGAACATCAAAATAAAAAGAAAATCAGAATGGCATAATAAACATTAATACAACAGAAATGAAGAAAATGAAAAGAAAACCCACAAGCAAAATAAACTCAGCACAGATGGGATGTTGTGATAATAGCCATCAGATAGATTGTGCCTATCTTAATATATGCTACATCCTTCCATGTATTTTCATCATTTGTACAGTGCTCGTAAGCTGTCACTTATATTGAAAGCTAGTTAAAGTGAAAACCATGTCCACCATACCTTCTGAGTTACTTTGCATGTAAGTGTTACTGAATTGAATTCAATATAAAGTGCAGTTACTTGAACTCAAGTTCAAGTTACTTTCCTGTAAGCAGAAACTTTCCCTTATGTTGTGCCCCAAAATTATCATATACAAAGATTTTTCAAGCATCCAGCAGGGGCATAGCATACAGCAACAAGTAATGCAGAAGTATAGATTAGAATAAGATATGGTTCCTGGAATCCTGGTGTGGCCCTGTGGGATAAAGTACTGGAACCACAAGGTCAGTTTGAGCCAAAAGGTTGGAGATTCAAGCCCACCTTGGAAACCCTATACAGGATCACTATGAGTCGGAACCAACTCGACGACGCTTAACAGTAATATAAAAAGGGCCTGTGATATCTGAATAATCAGGATTATTTTCACAATCTTAAATGAAAAATCATCACATTATATTTATAGGTTTAGAGCCAAATAAAGAATACACTATAGGCACACTTGGAGTCCTGGTTTGGCACTGTGGGTTAATGTGCCAGAGTGCAAAGCCATTTGAACTGCAAGGTTGGCGGTTCAAGCTCACCAGCTGCTCCTTGGAAACCCTATACAGGGTCTCTATAGGTGGGGTCCGACTCTACAGCACTTAGCAACAACAACATAGGCACACTTAATGATGCTCACGAGGAACCTACATATGGACCAAGAAGCAGTCATTCAAAGAGAACAAGGGAACACTGAATTGTTTAAAATTAGGTAAGATGTGTGACAGGGTTGTATTATGTAAGCTGTATGCTGAGTAATTTTCAATAATCTCATATGGATGCGAAAGCTGGACAGTGAATAAGGAAGATCGTAGAAGAATTGATGCCTTTGAATTGTGGTGTTAGAGGAGAATACTGAAAGTGCCATGGACTGCCAAAAGAACCAATAGATCTGTTTTGGAAGAAGTGCAGCCAGAGTGCTCCTTGGAGGCCAAGATGCCTAAGCTTTGTCTCTCATACTTTGGACATATTGTCCGGAGGGAACAGTCACTGGAGAAGGATGTCATGCTGGGTAAAGTGGAGGGTCAGAGAAAAAGAGGAAAACTCCTAACGAGATGGATTGGCCAGGTAGCATCATTGATGGACTCAAGTGTGGCAGCGGTAGTGAGGTTGGCCCAGGATCGGACATAATTTCGTTCTGCTGTGCATGGGGTCGCTATGAGTTGGTTCCGACTCGATGGCACCTGACAACAACAACAATGCTGAGTAAATAATCCAAGAAGCTGAGTTATATGAAGAAGAACATGGCATCATGATGACGGGAGGCTCATTAATAACTTGTGATATGTACATGATACAACCCTGCTTGCTGAAAGCAAAGTGGGCTTAAAATACTTACTGATGAAAATCTAAGACCACAGCCTTTGGTATAGCTTGCACCACAATGCAAAGAAAACAAAAATCCTCACCACTGGACCAATAAATAACATCAGGATAAATGGAAAAAAGAATGACATTGTCAAAAGACTTCATTTTGCTCAGGCAACCATCAAGTCATGGAAGCAACAGTTAAGAAATCAAACGATGTATTGCAGTAGGCAAACCTGCTGCACAAGATTTCTTTAAAATTTCAAAGGGCAAGGATGTCAGTTTGAGGACTAAGGTTTGCCCTACCCAATAGCCTCATATGCATGCAAAGGATGGACTATGAATACTGAAGACCATAGAATAATTGATACATTTTAATTATGGTGTTGGGGGAGAATATTAAAAGTACCATGGACTGCCAGAAGAACCAACAAATCTGTGTTGGAAAAAGTACAGCAAGAATGTTGCTTAGAAGCCAGCATAGAGTGACTTCATCTCTCATACTTAGGACATATTATTAGGAGGTATCAGTCCCTGGAGAAGGATATCATACTTGGTAAAGTAGAGGGTCATAGAAAAATAGGAAGACCCCCAACAAGATGGATTGGCACAGTGGCAGCAGAAATGGGCTCAAGCACAGAAATGATTGTGGGATTGGCACAGGACTGGTCAGTGTTTCTTTCTGTTATGCATAATGTTGCTGTGAGTCGATACTGATTTGATAGCATAGAGTTCTGGTGTGGTGCTGTGGGTTAATGCGTCAGACTGCAAAGCCGTTTGAACTGCAAGGTCAGCAGTTCAAGCTCACCAGCTGCTCCTCGGAAACACTATACAGGATCTCTATGGGTCGGGACCGACTCTATGGCACTTCACAACAACAACAGCATAAGCACAGTATATAACATGGAATGTATCAGATGTCTATTTGGATAGTTGTTGTTAGTGCCATCAAGTTGGCTCTAACTCATAGAGTTTCTGAGAAGGGGCTGGTGGGTTTGAAATGCTGACCTTATGGTTTAAACTGATCTTGCAGTCCAGTGCCTTATCCTGTGGTGCCACAATGCTGCATATATTCAGAGGAGAGAGCAAGCACTTCATGTTGGGCCAAGAGTCCTGAATCTTTAAACAAGGATAGAATTCAAATCAGCAAGGAGGAGTAGGAAGAGAATTCTGTTTGGGCAGTGGAATAAGGAAATGTGTAGGGTGTGTTGAGAAGGAAATAGATTGAGTAGATAGACTATAATAAAATAAATTCTCTTGTCTATGAGCCAGACTCTTTTTAGGCAGCTTTCTAAATCTTGGCATTTTTAATGATCCTGTTAAGTAAATGAATGATTGTAGTGTACCTATGGTCTGAAACTCTTCCTAACTCATATTCCATAGGATTCTTGGAGTGAAGAGAAGAAAGTTGTAGTGGGTGGGAGTTCATCTATGTACCCTTCTTTGAAGTCCAAATTTTATTACTGTTGAACAGTTTTATGTTGATGGTAAGTAACGATATTCTGAGAATAAAACATCACCAATTATTGCATCATTTTGTTTGTTATCACAGACTAGATGAGACAATACAGGCCATTGCCAATGGAACTTTGAACCAGCCGTTGGCCACATTGGATAGATCTTCTGCAGAGCATTTTGGAGTTCTGGTGAATCCCAACATGCACCAGCCCCCTCCCCAGGTTAGTGGACCTATGAGTTGAGAGATGTTTGGGCCTAACTGTTTCTCCTTTACAGTTTGTCTGTTACATAGACTTTAGATACAAAATCTTTTCTTTTCAAACACTTGCCAACTTTATTCCCTAGCCAAATTTTCTCAATTTTATCTTGCAGCATTTCTGACAAGTTGACCTGTATTATCATCTAAGTATTTCCCAGCAGAGGTTTTTATTAAATAAAGTAGAAATGTAGACAATTTTTTCATGGTCCTTTTAGTAACCTTCTTTATTTCTTAAAGAGTATGGGTAGTCCCATAAAGTGGTGTATTAAGTTAAAATTTTGATTCACTTACTCATTGTCATCATTCATTTAACCACTAAATATTTACATTGAGCATCTACTTTGTACAAGCATAGTAATATGTGAGCTACCAGACACTGACTCAGTACTGAAGGAACTCACAAGCTAATAGATAAAAACAGCTACATAAATAGCTATTAACAATAGAGATACAGTGTTGTAAAGTGTTTTAGGAACTCAGAGATGGAAAAGACTACTGGCTGAGGAGAATCAAAGAGTGCTTCATATCAAAGTTGACATTGGAAATAAGTATTCAAGGAAATAGATGTTCAGGGAAGGTGGAAATAAAATATTCCAGACAAAATGAATTGTTGCAACAAAAGCATGGATACAGTACAGGACAGTACAGGATATAGATAAGGAATTCAGCCACCTGAAACCCAATCCAGGGTGTAGAGTCGATTCTGACTCATAAGGACTCTACAGGACAGAGTAGAACTGTCCCATTGGGTTTCCACGGTGTGCTCTTTATAGGAGCACACTGCTACATCTTTCTCCTGTGAAGTAGGTGGTGAGTTCAGTTAGCAACCAAGCACTTTAACCACTGCATCACCAGGTCACTCTAGTTACCTAGATAGGGCTGATAAAAAGAATTGAAGCAGGGTAGGTAGGTGGGATGAGATCAATTAAGATCTTAAATGTTTAGCTAAGACGTTTTAACATTTGTTTGTAAATGTGAGCTATGGATTTTTAAGCAGAGTGATTATGCAATCAGAGCAGTGTTTTAGACAGGGTAATTGAAGACATTCATCACACTAGGTTTTGTGTTAGCTGCTGGGAAATTTAAAGGTAAAGGCCCATCCCTGTTCTTAAGGATTTCAAGTTTAGTGGGAAGACATGTGTCTTATAATACTTTAAGATTATTTCTATAATGTAATTTGTTGTTGTTAGGTGCCATAGAGTCAGCTCCGAGTCATAGCAACCCTGTATAGGGTTTCTGAGGAGCTGCTGGTGAGCTTAAACCACCAATCTTGTGGGTTCAAACTGATTTTGCAGTCCAGTGCATTAACACACAGCCCCACATGTTATTGGTATAGCAGGAATTTAGAAGAGGGAATCAGGCTGTGAACCACAAGGTCAGCAGTTTGAAACTACCAGCTATTCTGCGGGAGAAAGATGAGGCTTTCTGCTCCCGTGAAGATTTACAGCCTCGGAAACCGACTCCACGGCACAGAACAACAACAAGGAGTTTTAGAGTATTTGAATAATAGCATAACATGGACATGAGTTCTATGCCTATGTGAAGAACGGATTGGAGGGAGGGATAAGACTTGACTGTAGCCAAGTCATTGCAGTAGTATAGTGAAGAGATGATTAAGGTTGTAGTAATAGTGGAGCAATAGAAAGTTATTTAAAGTGCTTAACATGGAGATGGGGACATTAGTTAGCAGGCTCTATAATACTCTTGTTGAAAGATTATAAGGAATTAAGAAAATAGTGGTGGGAATAGAAAAACAGATAATATATATTTGTGTCTGTGAACTGTAATAGAGAGAGGACTTAGACTTCAGAATTATTCAAATACCAACTTTTTATTGAAATCACATATTTTCCTTACAGTGGATTGGTTTTTCCTCTATGTTCCCATATAATAACTATATCTCTAGTTAGTATTCCATTCTGCCTTAATTTTAGACAGTTATTTGTGTGTCAGTCTTCCACTAGGGTTGTAAATTCCTTGAAAGCAATAATCTTATATTTATCATATTTTATATATGTCTCCCTTCTTTTCATGCTTTTCATATAGCTAAGTACACGATAAATGTGGGTTTTAAAATGCATATAATTGATTTGTTGTTGTTGTTAGGTGCCGTTGAGTTGATTCCGGTTAGAATCATGAAATTTTTTTGCAGAAAGATTTGAGGTTCATTTAGTTTGCCATCATCATTTTACAATTGAGAAAACCAAAACTTACCATTCTTGTTTTTTTTTTTAAATAATTGTAAATTATTAAATACAAATATCAGAAAATTAAGACAGCATCCCAACCAACAGAGCCCTTTTAAAAAACAAAAATTGAAGCACTTGATTTTCTTGCTCTGGAAGAGATATTAAACTCTGTAATTCTCTGTACTATTGCCAGGACTCTTCAGTCTCTTGTAATTACCTGAACTATGTAATTTTCTATTCCCTTTATATGAGACTTGCTACAGTTGTGCTCTGGTTATTAATTTCAGGGTAAGAGTAATTCATGCATCCAATAGTCAGAACTGCTGTCAATAACAGCATTTGTTATGGTACCAGCATGTGACCCTAACCCTAAACACAAGAAGAATATGTGGATCAAATGTTGAACCTTCATTTGGTTTGATAGAATTATATCTGGAAGTTTTCCAGAATCTAAAATGGATCATTAAGAGGTATAAAGTAGAAATAATCACAACTCTTGATCTTTTAATTTTGTATGCCTGGTGATACTCCTTAAATCAGAAAGTCTTGTATAGAGATTTCAACACTTTACATTAGCTTTTAAGATGAGGCTTTGTTATCATACCTGGAATCCCATTGAATTTATCCCATATCTACCTTTTTTGGCGTGGTTTCTGATAAAGGTGGGATAGATTTATCTAAGAAAATGCTCCTAGAATAATTGCTTCATTAATAGCATTCATCTCATATGGTCCACCTACCTCATTCACCTAAACATTGAAGTTCTTTCCTTGTCATATGGAACTGTATGTTTATTTTTGTGTTTTGTTTTTGCTGTATAGTGGGTAGACCAAACTGGTGTAGCCTCACATAAGAAGACTTTACACCTAGAAGGATCCGAGCTTAATTCATATCATCACCGGATGCGAATCCAGGACCAAGAGTTTCAGGAAGGCTTTGATGGTGGTTGGTGCCTCTCTATGCATCAGCCCTGGGCTTCTCTGCTTGTCAGAGGGATTAAAAGGTAAGAGTAGAAATGAATCTTGGCAGTTAAAGATCTTAGCATGCTATAAACTTAATTTATAATTATGGACTAGAATTAGTTTTCCCCAATCTAATGATGATTTATGATGCTCTTTGGAACATTGAACTTTAAGCAATATATTTATCTTACTGACAAGAGTAATTTTTTATTGATAAGAATAAAAATCTAAGATTAGAAAGTCTAACAATCTGAGTCATAACAAAGAATATCAGTTTTTTCAATCTTTTAAAGGAAATATATTAAAACTTTTCTTGGTTTTTGCTTTAGTAATATGATACTCAGCTAACTTAATGATTTGATCCTATTTGAAGTTTAAAGTTTTTATAAACTATTACTCATTTTATTAAGATACCAACCTGTGATTTTGTTTTTTTATCTACACATCTGTCTGATAATCTGGGTAACCATATTGAGAAACTTTTTTTTTTTTTTTAACCACAAATTCCTTTTCTATCAAAAGCAGGGGAAGTGGTGAGGGATAAATAGAAAGTATTACAGAGTTGAGTAATTACACTTGTTAATGATTGTAATAGCTTACTATTCCATAGTTTCATATGCTTCTTTACAATTAAACTTTTTAAAAATATAGTGTATGGGGTTTTTTGTTTATAAATGTAAGTAAAAAATACAGAAAAATAGAAAAAGAAGTATTAGCCAAAATCCCACTATCTAGAAATTGTTATTAGCATATTGAAGTGTTTATGTTCATTTCACATTCATATTATTATATTATGAGATACTAGCATGTATTTAAGGAGCTCTGGTAGCATAGGGGTTACGATTTGGGCTGCTATCCTCAGGGTCAGCAGTTGGAATCTACCAGCTATTCCATGGGAGAAAGATGAGGCTTTCTGCTCCCGTAAAGATTTACAGCCTTGGAAACCTCGTCCAGGGTCACTAAGAGTTGGAACCGACTCCATGGCACATAATAACAACAACAACAGTGGTATGTATTTAAGGATCCCTGGTAGTGGAGTCGATTATGCACTGGGGTCCTAAGTACAGATCAGCTCTCATAAAGATACATAGCCTCAGGAACCCTGTACAGGATTGCTGTGAGTCAAAACCGACGTGACAACACAATAGCAGCAGCAGTGTGTACATATGTGTGTTTATTTGTAAACTTGTCTTTACAACATAGTCATTTCCCCTTAATTATCAGAATTTTATATGCCCGGAAATCTCTTAGCCCATAACAGCAATAAGGTATTTAAATAGAATGTTTACAGTTTTCTACACAAGAGTTGTATGAAATGGGTCAGGCTAGGAATATCATAATCTTTGACAAGTTAGTGCCAGAGATGGACTAGAGTTCAGGTTTTCAGAGTGCTGCTTCCACTCTATTGTGCAGCTTCAGTTATTTCCCTATGATCCTGAAAAGAACATGATGAGCATTGAAGACCAATCATTTCTACTTTAGAGGTTTCACTATTATCTGTGACTTCCCTCCTTCTTTAATGTACACTACAGCCACCATTCATCTGTCAATTTGTCATACTGTGGTGGCTTGTGAGTTGCTGTGATTCTGAAAGCTATGCCACCAGTATTTTAAATACCAACAGGGTCATTGGAACCATGACAATGAAACAATATACGATAGAATGAATGTAAAACTAATGTTCTCCCATGTAAACTATCATATAATTCACAATAAAATATTAAAAAAAAAAAAAAGACCAACAGGGTCACCCATGGTGGACAGGTTTCACATGAGCTTCCAGACAAAGACAGACTAGGAAGAAAGAGTGACAAAATACTTCCGAATATTTAGTCACTGAAAACTTTATGAATAGCAGAGAAACTGTCAGATATAGTGCTGGAAAATGTGCCCCTCAGGTTGGAAGGCAATCAAAATGCTACTGGGGAAGAGCTGCCTCCTCAAAGTGTACTTAACTGTGTTGACGCGAATGGAGTAAAGCCTGTGGGAGAAAAGCCCGTGGGACCTTAGTTTGCTGATGGGACACAACTCAACATGAAGAGAAACAGCTATAAACATTCATTGAAAATTGGAACATGGAATGTACAAAGTATGAATTTGGGAAAATTCGAAGTTGTTAAAAATGAAATGGAACGCATAAACATTCAATATCTTAGGCATTAGTGAGTTGAAATGGACTGGTATTGAGCATTTTGAATCTGACAACCACATGATTTACTATGCCGGGAATGACAAATTGAAGAGGAATGGTGTTGCTTTCATCGTCAAAAAGAACATATCTAGATCAGTCATGAGGTACAACGCTGTCTGTGATAGGATAATATCCATGCACCTACAGGGAAGCCTAGTTAATACCAGTATTATTCAAATTTATACACCAACCACTAAAGCCAGTGAGGATGAAATAGAAGAATTCTACCAGCTTTTTCCATCTGAAGTTGATCAAACACGCAATCAAGATGTAGTGATCATTACTGGTGATTGGAATGCAAAGGTTGGGAGCAAAGGGGAAGGATCAAACTGACTTTGCAATCTAGTGCATTAACCCACTGTGCCACACCAGGACTCCATAAGAATGATATAAGAGGGGTATATATTAAAGCACTTTTATTTAATAGTAGGTAAAAAAGAAATTTCTTTTTGTTACCCTTGGAAATTAGCAAAGTGATTAAATTCCCTTGAATACGTTCTGTTCCTGTTCTCCACTTCAAAATTCTTTCAAATTAGTAAAAAAAAAAAACTCCCTTATAAAAAATAATTAGAAAATATAAATGCATGTGGTTGTAACTTAAAAAGTAAAGATGATAGGCATTTTAATTTACTTCTTGTTTTTGTTAGCTGCTGACTCATGACAACCTCATGCACAATGGGACAAAATACCGCCAAGTCCTAACTATCCCAAGAATGGTTGTCGGTTCCACCATTGTAAGCCGTTGGGTTTTCATTGACTGATTTTTAAAAGTAGACCACCAGGCCTTTCTTTCTAGTCTGTCTTACTTGGGAAGTTTTGCTGAAACCTTCTGTTCATCTATTAAATAATAATTATAAAAGTACCACTGGGGGGCAGTTATTTGTATTTGAGGATTTTTCTGTTTGATCAGATGACAGTTGACAGATTTTCTAGAAAACGGTTAGTCTTTGATGCAAAGACTTTCATTTATACCTTGCAAATATTGAATTTGAATTGTAGACGTTCCAAAGCTATTGAGAGTTCCTAGTCAAGTAGAGGAATTAGGTGAAAACTGCTGAACTGAAAGTGATGAGTTGTCTTTGTTCTGATGATAGGAGAAATCAGAGAATAAGGTTTATCCTCAAGTAAAGGATATTATGGGGATAAAAATGTCTTTCACAAACTATATCGCTTTTGATAAGGTATCATCTATAGATTTCTTGGTCCCATTGGATAATTTTCTTTACAGCATGATGTTATATGATCCTCCAGAAAATTGGAATTTAGACCCTTCCAAACTAAATTTTTATTTGTTTAAGGGTAGAGGGAAGAACCTGGTATACTCCTCATAGAGGACGGCTTTGGATAGCAGCCACTGCAAAAAAACCCTCCCCTCAAGAAGTCTCAGAACTCCAGGCTACATACTGTCTTCTTCGTGGGAAAGGTAACACTCATATATTCTTTCAATCCTACTTTGTGGAGAGAAGTGATTGACTTTCATCTTGTTTCACTTCCTTGTTCCTGTGGCTTTTTTTGGCTGAAGTGGAATTTTAAACCTTGTATTTATTATTTGTTTGTTTAGTTTCAAATCATAAACAGCTGTTTAAAGCAGCACTTCAAACTGTATTGAACTGTTTCAGTCATAGCTGACTAACCAAAACTGAACCTGTTCCTTTTTTGAAATTTGGAAGGCTAACCAGAATGACTAGAATTATGAGTCAAAGCCCTGAAATGGGAGACTTGACTTGAAAGAGGCATACTGAGCCCTTTCAGGAGGTTGATGTGTGACTTTGAATTATTTGGACAGCAACACACATTCAAATTGGTAAAGTTGGCTGCCATTTTTGAGCCAGGCACAGCTGTTTTCCACTTAGCTGGTCAAGAGATTTGATTGCTATGCAGTGGGCATGATGCCCTCGTTTTCTAATAGGAAGATTAAGTTTCTAGCAGAACTTTGACACATAGTTTTCCTGTTCCAGATAGTGTTTGATTTACCCACATTTTTAAAATTTGGGTTTATTCTGATGTTGTTTCATTGACCATGACTGAGCAAGGATGAACCATACAAAGCCCAGGTACAAAGCACTAAGTTTGTCAAACAGTGCAAATAAAAATACCAGTTCCCAATACCAGAAATCAATAGTTTTATCTAAGAAAACGTTTTCCCATCTTTTTTTTATTATGATGATGAAATGACTGCTAGAAACTCTGGGAGCTTTAGATTGAGAAAAACAATCACAAAAAAGGATTTTGTTTTTTAAATCAAAAGTGGCCCATATAAGAACCTGCTATCAGATTTGGACAGACAAAGCTGACTGATTAAGCAGTATAATTTGGGAGTCACCCACTAAAATTTGGTTCCTTAACAATACTTATGGTTCTCAAGTGTCCTGTTTTCTTTCCTCTTATCAGTTCCTGTTGGGCAAAAGGGAGAATAGAAACACCTTTAAAAAGGGTTTTAAGAAACTATACATAAGGAATCACTAGTAATTATAAGTGCATGCTTTCTTAAAAATATGTTTCTCTGGCATACCATTATAAAATAGATACTTGAGGGGGAGAGTAAGGAATAGCCAGAAATATCACCATAGAAAGCTTGTAAGTTCGTCTTCTGCCTATAACTGAGTGGAATACCTAAAATGGGACTACAGCGTACCCAGTGAAGGAGGAATCCTGAACCTTACCCAGAATCTTCTGAGGTGGAAAATTTCCAATTGAAAGGACAAGCAGACCAGCCTGGAGCAACTAGAAGAACAGAAGATACTTCTTAAAAGAAAGACCGACAGGAAAAATACAAAACAATAACTGCAATCCGATTTATTACTACAAGAACAGGCAAGTTGCTTGCCCAGGAGACATCAAAGCAAGTGGTCGGGTCCCCTCAGGGCAAACCCCCATTGAATCTTAGTCTTAATCCCATTGAGACTAAGACTCAGTGGGAATACACAAGCAGACATGTGCTCTGATTGGTAACCATGTTCATCACTGATAAGAGGAAGTGAGGGAAAACTAGCAATGAAGCTGCGAGCTAAGCCCTATGATGGTCAGTAGACTCCTGTGAACCTGGGTGGAGACCTGGTTGACCAGCAGTGTGGCAAGACCTGGGGACTCTTGGACCCAGAGTCAGTGATACAGCCACAGAAGACTAGAGTGGAGACTGACACATGCAGCTGGTAAGAAGAGAGGGTGTATGCATAAGAGCACACACACTTGCAGATAATACCCAGTGACCTGGCTTC